AATAGATATAAGATATAATGTGATTATGAGAATCCGTTTTACTAGTAGAAAATAGTTATGCATCACTTAACAATGGTATGTTCTAAATGTATTGCCAGGTGATTTCATCATCATACGAACATCATGAAGTGTACTTACACAAACCTAGATAGTATATATATTTTTATTTATATAAATTTTTTCAAATGGAAAACCCGATGTCCCAGCACCATTAATAATATCAGCCATTTCCCCTACTTGATCTGCAATACCAGTATCAAGTGTCATATATCAGGTTTCCATATATGCTCCATTATAATCTAATGGGACCACTGTTGTATATGCAGCCTGTCATTGACCAAAACATCATTATGCAGTACATGACTGTGTGACTACTTCACTGTGTGCAATATGAATTACAATCATGAGTGCATGGGTTCCTAAACAAACTAGCTCTTAAAATACTGGCCAACTTGTGAATTTTTCCATTATCTATATACTGCTTGCTCATTTCATCACATGCCAGCTCTTGTTGGCAGACAAGCAGAGTTCCACCCCAAACTGAGAAAATTCTTTCCATTAATAACTTCTCTTGTAAATGAACTAGCCGAGTACTTCTCAAACTTTAGCATATGTACTAATTGCCTGGGGAACTCTACAGATTCAGACCTAGTAGGTCTTGAGATGTTGCATGTCTAACGAGTACCCACGTGATACGATGCTGCTAGTCCCCACTTTACACTGAGTCGTAAAGAAATATACCACAACCACCAGACATTGGAGGGTAACTGCAGCACCTGGTTCACTGTACACAATGAACACAAATAGCAGCAGAATAGGAGCAAGGGCTCTAGAGCAAGGGCTCTGCAGCACACCCTGCCTGGGCTAGTTCTCAGCTCTAGCACTCAAATTTAGGTAAGTCACAATCTCTCTAATCCTCAGTCTCCTTATCTGTTTTGTTTTTTTTTTTTTTCAGGATAATAATAGCACCTATAAATTACTCATAAAGATTAGATAAGATAATGTACACAAAGCATCTAGCACAGTGCCAAGCACATAACCCCTCAATAAATCGAAGCTATTTTTTGTGGAATGAGTGAATGAAGAAAAATGGCTTGAGAAAGCATGAACAGAAAAACATCAGGCTGTGAGGCTCTCTTTAAAATTTAATTACTATAATAATTACTATATTACAATGTAACAAATAGAACCACCTGGTTACTTCTATTAATAGAATTAATTTTGACTTTCAAATAAACTCTAACTGGCTTCATATTAGATTATGTATTACCTGGGTGAAGGAGTTCACTATTTTAAAAAATAGGCAGTTTTGGTACTATAATGACCTCAAATGTACCTTGTAAAAAAATTAATGTTTAGCCTTAATAAAGAATATGTTTAATTATTATTTCATAATTATAAATGTATAAATTAAAATGTTATCCCTTAGGTGGTATTATATCAACAATCATAAGATTAACAAAATTGGCTTAAAGTACATCCCTTTAGCCAATGGCTCCCACACTTTAGGTCTTAAAATACTTCATTTTATTTTATTTGAGAAGATATATTTTATTGATTTGTCTGAGAAGACACATGTGCAGTTAAGATTATCAATAGAACACTATGAGCAAGCAGATGCTCACAACCTTCTAAAAACTTAATAGGTAACACAAAGGTTTAGAAATATGATATAAATCTGTATCTGGTTATTTACATACCTTGTTTTCTTCACCTGAATGCTACTACTGAGTTTTTCCAGCACATATTCACCAGTGTCATGATTAATAATAAGCACACAGTCTTTCTGGTAAGGCCGTTTGTTTCCCTTGAACACAGTCATTGGTGGTGTGGATCCCTATTTGCCACAAAAGTATAAGATGATCAAACTAAACAGTTATAAATAACAAAACTGAATTTATAGATGACTTTATGTGATAAAATCTTTTATCAAAGCCACTCAAAATGAACAGAATGAACTGATTTCTATGTTAACTCCTTCTGAGTTCCCAGGCAAAAATAAAAGAGATATAATAATACAGAAAAAATCTGTGACTGTGCAACCGATTCTAAGTAATTAAGAAAAGTAGTGTAAAAATTTTAAATTACTGTACATGTTTCTAAGGGATTGGGGAAACATTACAAATAATGGTAAAGTACAAACTTAGAAAAATAAATTAACTATTACTTGCATTACACTAAGTAGAACTATCACTTTGCACAGTAAAACAAGAGAGCAATCTTGTTTTCGTTTTCTTTCATATTTCTTTGTAACTGAAGAGTCCGGGGCTTCCCTCTCTTATAGCAAGTAACCAACAGAGGCCACTCCAAGGGCAGGTTGTCTCCTGGTTAGCTCAGAGTAGTGATCATGCCACTCACCTGCCTAAGCCCTTCTAACTCCTCTGTTGCTCTCAGGCCACGGGATAAAATTTTAGGCCAGCTATCTGACCTTGCACCACCTGGTTCTTCCCTGGCTCTCCAGCCTCACCCTGTACCATGAGCCTCTGGGCTCCGTGTGTTTCAAGAGCAGATGATAACTGGCTTCTCTCCTCCTCGAGATCTTCCCTGCCTCAGGGCTTTAATAAGGCTTCTGCCTGCTTTGTCTTACCCCTTTCTCTTTAATTTACTCAATCTCCAGATCTGCTCAAAGGTTACTTCCTTAAGGGAAGTCTTCCCTGATTATTGAGAATAAATGCTGTATTTTCTTTTTTTTTTTCCAAGACAAGGTCTCACTCTGTCAACTAGGCTGCAGTGCAGTGGTGTCATCATAGCTCACTGCAACCCCCAATTCCTGGGCTCAAGCAATCCTTCTGCCTCAACCTCCCAAGTAGCTGGGGACTACAGGAGAGCACCACTGCACCCAGCAAATTTTTCTATTTCTGGTAGAGGGGGGTCTCACTCTTGCTCAGGCTGGTCTTAAACTTTTGAGCTCAAACAATCCTCCCACCTCAGCCTCTGAGAGTGCTAGGATTACAGGCATGAGCTACCATGCCAAGCCTATATTTTCTTATATTTACTTAAACTCCAAACCATAAGGTCCACAAAGGCAAGAAAATATGCTTGTTTTGTTTGAGAGTGTATTCTTAGTGCCTAGTAATGGGCCAACAACACGGTAAGCATTCAATTAATATTTGCTGAATATAGGATTTAATGCCTTGCTTAGAATCAAAACTGCTTGGCTCTTTGACTTCTTATTCATACAATAAAAATTTAGAATTGGAAGGGACTTTGGGGACCATTTATCTAACTCTTTCATTTTCCATTTAGGAAACTAAGGTCCAAAGGGAGATGATGTAACCTGCCAAAAGCAACAAGTAATGAAGTAGCAGTTTGAACAGGCAGACAATTTTTCCTCAGCACAAAGGTTTCCAGGTCTTTGTGTCCAGAGCGTTTTCATTCTGTCATCAGCTACCAAGAACGTATTATGTTCCTGGACAGGGCTGTGACATGCAATGACACATGTTCATTAAGAACATCATGTAACCCTTTGGGCTTTGTGATCAGTGCTGCCTTGGGCAGGGCTTCACAGAAGTCTTTCTTTGTAAGGTTTTTCAATACAGCTTTTAACTAAGTTCTTCATCCCTATATTAGCTGAATGCTCCAAACCTCTGGTTCCTGCCTGAGACTAACAGCATGCACTTGACCCCTTGCCAGATAGAAAGACATCCATCCTGCTCTCACTTGTCTTAATTCCTGGCTAGGTTGTTCCACACTCCAAAGCTACTATACCTATATAAACAGCAGGGCACCTAAGGCTTTTCTCTTTGGAGTTACTTAGGAGAAAAAAGTGTCCAGACAGGAACCTTGTCTACTGCGTAGCAAATGGAGGAAAGGGGAAGTTGGGAAAAATGGCAAAGAATCATTTTTAATGAACCACTTGAGTAGCATGAATTCTGCCCCCCTCTACCACTTAGAATTCCATTTTTCCCAACGTTGGTACTTTAGAAATCTAGACATTTTTAAACAGTAGGAAGTTTAAATTGCAGTAACAAAATATGAGAATTCACTATGATCCTATATTTTTAAAAAACGAAATAAACTTACAGGGATATGTGGCAGTGTAATTGTGACTTCATCTCCTTTGCCAACCTGAAGCTCTCCTTCACAGGAAGTGTCTATAGATGCTGGCTTAAAATCATCTAATGGGAAAGGATAACAACATTTAACCACCAGGTTACTTATAATAGGGTTCTTTCGGTATTTTCATTTAAGAATTAAACTTTTGGACTGGGCACGGTGGCTCACACCTGTAATCCTAGCACTCTGGGAGGCCCAGGCCTGTGGATCACTCAAGGTCAGGAGTTCGAAACCAGCCTGAGCAAGAGTAAGACCCTGTCTCTACTAAAAATAGAAAGAAATTAATTGGCCAACTAAAAATACATAGAAAAAGTTAGCTGGACATGGTGAACATGCCTGTAGCCCAGCTACTCGGGAGGCTAAGGCAGCAGGATCGCTTGAGCCCAGGAATTTGAGATTGCCGTGAGCTAAGCTGACACCACAGCACTCTAGCCGGGCAAGAGTGAGACTCTCTCAAAAAAATAAATAAATAAAAAATAATTAAGCTTTTATTACTCAAATAAATGGAAAATAAAAATGATTTCAGGGGGAGGGGGGCATGGGCAATATATGTAACCTTAACATTTGTACCCCTATAATATGCTGATATAAAAAAAAATGATTTCAAATTCTTCTTCTTTTTTTTTTTTTGAGACACAGTCTCTCTCTGTTGCCCAGGCTAAAGTGCCATGGCGTCAGCCTAGCTCACAGCAACCTCAAGAGATCCTGCTGCCTCAGCCTCCCAAGTAGCTAGAACTACAGGCATGAACCACCATGCCCAGCTAACTTTTTCTATTTTTAGTTGCCCAGCTAATTTCTTTCTATTTTTTAGTAGAGACAGGATCTTGCTCTCGCCGAGGCTGGTCTTGAACCCCTGACCTCAAGCAATCCTCCTGCTTCTGCCTCCCAGAGTGCTAGGATTATAGGAGTGAGCCACCACACCAGGCCAATTCAGAATTCTTAAAAACTATTTCATTATAGAAAACTTCACATATGCAAACATAGACTAGACAGTGAACCCTGGTGTACCATCATCCAGCTTCAATTATTACCAACTCAGGGATGATCTTGTTTCATCTACCACATATTTTTCCTCTGACCCCCGACTAGTTTATTCTGGAGGGGAAAAAGGTAGAATTTACATACCATTTTATTAAACAAAGATAATAAAAGAGATAGATGAAAATTAATGCCTCATTATCCATAACATGTTTTATTAGAGTTGTGAGGACCACAAGCATATGAAAAAGAGCATATGAAAAAGATTCTGTGATTGTAAAACCTATATGAATATAAAAGGCCACAGCCTCATAAAAGCTGATTTCATTTTGCATAAAAAATGTTAAAATTAGGATTTGCCACGTTTCCAAACACAGATCACAGCTTTAACAAAGGTGCTTCTGTAGATGTTCAGAGCAGACAACCGAACTGTATCTCTAAAGGTTATCCTGCTCAAGTTTCTGAACTGCAGTTAGAGCACAACATCAATGGCCATCTTCCTTCACATTAACACACACCGGCCTCAAACTACAGGTCGTGTGCATACACAAATGATCTCATTTAAATTCCATATTCCCATTCACTACAGGAAAACAGCAACTTAACAAACTACTCAGGAAAAGATGTTCTTATCATATTCCCAGTATTGTCTCTCTGAAAAAGCTGGATCTGCTGTCAATAGGAAGCGCAGTAATGGCACAGCAAATGATCACACAAAGCTGGAACTTCATTATCTAACACACCCTCTTCATATAAGTTGAGTCACATCTATTATTACCTCCTCTGACAAAAACAAGTCTTAACCAGTGTTAGTGCTACGGGAAACCAAAAGGCTGTGAATCATGGAGGGATGCTCAGTCAGCCAATTCCTAACAACCAAATCTTCACCCAGGGCATAGAGTGGAAGTGTACTGTCTAAACAGAGTCTATAATCATGTGGAAAAAGGTTCAGCATAATGACTATTTCGACATTCCTTATGCCTGCTCTCTTCTTCCAAACATAGATCAAGCTTTAACCTATCCCCGGCTCACAAATTCTAATTTTATTCTTTACCCACAAGGGACTTGGTCCTGGGGAAAAGTCAGAGTGGTACAGGTGACTTCAAAAGACATCGAAGTAAAACGAGGCACGGGAAGGAGGCAGAGGAAGACTGACGCGGCGCAGAGAGAATGAAAATTCTTTGGCTGTAGAGGGGACAAAGCGCAGTATCAGCGTGTCCCGGACTAAGACCAAGATGGAAAGACGAGAAAAGCAGGGAAGAGAATGCATCAGGAGAGAACAGATTAGGCTCATAGCAAACGGGAAGAGTCTATTACATGTGGAGAACCCTGATGGGGTAATCAGAAAGGGGAGGGTGGATCGTGGAAGAAGACCTGGACCCTGAGAAGAGAGAGTGGTTTGTCTTAAGATCTGGGGGGAGAATGGAAATGGAAAAGGGCCAATGACTTTTGGAATTATGAGGTAGAAGAATAGTTGAGAGTGACGAAGGTTTGGGAGGACTGATCTGTTAAAAGAAGGAACAGACAGAAGTCCCGGAGAATCTGGGTAAGAAAAGAGGGAAACTAACGTTGGCAGGGAGTTCCCTGGACTTTGGAGGACAGAGGAAAGAAAGGAAGGAGTCGAGGTTGGCATGTGGCGGCTGGAGCTGCCGAAGGGACCCGCGGGAGCATTGACTTACAGCGAATGGTGTGGAAGGAGGCCCGCGGCCGCTTCTCGAAGCTCTCCCCGAGCCGCAGACAATGTTCCTCGCGGTCCAGCAGCGGGTTCGCGGTCCCGTTCATGGCCGCGCACGGGCCTAGCGCCGAGAGCGGCGCTCTCCTGGCGCGGCCGCAGCCCAGGCTTCCGGCGCCGGCGTGCGGGAGGACGGTGCTCCCGGGACACCACTCCGGAGCGCACCGCGAGCCCAGCCGGCGCCCAACCAGTGCCGGAAGCAAGTCTTCTCCTCGGCGTCTGGGTTGGGGGAGACTCTGAGGATGCAAGGCCGCGGGACTTCCGGCGTCGGGGAGGAACTTCCGGGTTCCTAGCGGAAGTGGCAGGGGCGGTACCATGGCAAAAGAATTCCTCCGGGAGAATCCCAATTCGAGGTCTTTATGCCTGGCTTGTCCAGGTTCAGGCTTTGTCCCCAGCTGCTTCCAAATTCTGCCTCCTAGGCCTGGGCCCAGCTACGGGGTGAGTACGCCCGGCCCTACCCCTAGAGATGAATTCAGAAACTGATGACGGTGAGCCCAGAGCGTGGCTGACTAGGTTAACGCAGGTCTGATAGCCAACATGGGCTGCCCTCTGCGGGCCCTAGGGGCCTGTGCAGCCTAGTTTATCCCGAGTGTGCTGAGAGAGGTGGATCCTAGGGACCTTAGCCTCGCGCCTACCAGCTCTTTTCCTCCACTTCGCGCGGTGATGGCGGTGCGAGGGCTTCAGTCCCTGGGAAAGCGACGCCTTTTCTGGTTCGTGCGACAGCCTCTTGTGAGTGCGCTCAGAAACTGAGGCCGCTCAGGTTCAGTGACATATCCCCTGAAAAAACAGAGCTCCTGCCCTTGGGAAACAATGACCCCACTTCTGTCTGGCAATTGACTACAGCTTCCAGTTCGGGCCGCTGTTGTGGTTTTTAAGTCACCCCTTTCAGGGACCCCGGAAATTGATGAGTATTTTCTCCTCAGGGTTTCTCAGTCAGTTCGTGGAAGGGTCCTTTTTATCTTTCCTAAACTAAACCGATTTATTGTAATAGTTGGCTCATTTGGGTTTGAATGCATGGTTAGATGCATGAGACAATCCTGAGCACTGAATATAACCTCTGAAGGTAGGGACTGTGACTTGTTGTCTTTGTGACCTCTCCTCGCATTAACAGGCAGGATTTTTCTTAGGGTCAGCATCTGGTAAATGTTTGGTGAATTGAACCCAGCGTCTTAACTGTTGTAGAACTGCTAACTCAGTGTGCTGAACTGATCTAGAACCACTAAACAGAATCTCATTCTTTTTCTTTAGAAGCACCCTGTGCTATCTGAGGCGTGAAATCCACCTGAGGAAACGTATCAGAGAAAACCCTGTGTCTGCAGTGTCAGTATGGATTCCTCAGATTATTTAGGGATGGAGACTCTTTAGCAGTGTTAAATGAATTACCTTCCATTTATGAGATGGCTTCTTTGCAAAGAAAAGGGCTGCAGGCAAGGACTCTAAGCTATGAAGAAGAGGAGAAACTGAAAAGAGATCAAGCTTTGGTGTCTGATTTTAAACAACAAAAGTTGGAAAAAGAGGCTCAGAAGAACTGGGACCTTTTTTACAAAAGAAATAGCACTAATTTCTTCAAAGATAGACACTGGACCACCAGAGAATTTGAGGAGCTAAGATCATGTAGGGAGGTAAGCTAATATTCTACTTTATCTGAATTGTTCTTCCTTTAAAATGTGTAGAGGGGGATGCTTTATTGCATTCGCATGGCGTATGAACTAGAGAATTTATGAAGCCTGTCAAAATGCTTTGCACCTTAGCAGAGAAATGTACTGTTGGGTCTCAAGTAGTTTTTAGCAGTTTCTGGTTTAATACATAGGAAAGAGAATGTTATTGGGGCACTTTTTACCTCTTTAATGCTAATCTGAAAGTTGTAAACAGTAAATATTAAATTCAAGAGCCAGGTTCAGTGGCTTGGGACTATAGTCCCAGCTACTCTGAAGGCTGAGGCAGGAGGATTGCTTGAGCCCAGGAATTTGTGGCTGTAGTGTGTGATGATTGCACCTGTGATTAGCCACTGCATTACAGCCAGGGCAACACGGTGTGAGTCTCTGTCTCTTAAGTAAAAATAAATAAATAAATAAATTCATACTGAATGGCTTCAGTGACAGATTCAAAATAATAATAATCGTTAATGTTAGTGAACTATTTACTATGGCCCTTTTTTTTAAGAACTTTGCATGTGTTTTCTCATTTAAGCCTTCTAATATAATAACTCTGTGAAGTGTAAGTATTCGTACCGGTATTACCCCCATTTGCAGGTGAAATTGAGACAAAGCTATTTTAGTGATTCGCCCAAGAATAGAAATCAGGGGCAGGGAAGGAGCTGGGATTTGAGTGTAGGCAGTTTAACTCCAGAGCCTATTCAGTTAGCCATGAGTTTGGTTTGTTTCTTCATTATGCAAATATAATATACTGTAACTTTGGGTTCTCTTTCTCTAGTTTGAAGATCAAAAGTTGATAGTGCTTGAAGCTGGCTGTGGGGTTGGAAACTGTTTATTTCCACTTTTAGAAGAAGATGTGAATATCTTTGCTTATGCCTGTGATTTTTCTCCAAGAGCAGTTGAATATGTAAAGGTTGGTGCACCATCTATATATTCTGCTGTGTTTCTGTTTGACCTGCCCTCTACACCCGTTTGCCCAATTCCAGTCTTCCCTGGAGCTAACCAGCTGTGATCACCATGAATATAGTTTTCCTGTTCACCTACCTATACAGTACATATAGAAACAGGTTTATTCAAGAAAAGTAGGAAAAAATACCATAACACCACCCATATGCTTAACACCTTTTGCTTTATAGACTTTTTGCTGAACTATTTTAAAGTAAATTACAAACATAAAGACATTTCACTCCTAAATGTGTCTACACACATCTCCAAAAAAGAGGGCCTTTTTCTATATGACCGTAATAAGCTTGTCATATCTAACAAAAATAACTAATCCCCTAAGGTCATTCATTCCCATTCCAGATTTAGAGGTCCCCAAATAGTTCCAGGTGTCTTTTATTACTATTTTTAATCCAATCAAGGGCTACCTCTTAACTCTTCCATTGCATCCTTTAAATCTCCTTAACCTAAAATACTCCTGCTCTACCCTTTACCTTTTTCCTCATTTACAGTGAGTTCTTGGAGAGATCAAGGCAATTTTCTATCATAAAGTCCCATGTTTCAGATTGATCAGATTGTTTCTTTTTTTTTTTTTTTTTCTGTAGACACAGAACATACTTCTACAGAGATCAGATTGTTTCTTTATGTTATTATTTAGCTTATTCCTCTATCTTTTTGTATTTCTTGTAAATTAGAAGTTAAATTTAAGTCAGGCAAAATATTTTTGTCAAAAATACTTTAATAGGTGATGTTGTATCTTGCATATTACATCCTGACAGGAGGCAATACTGTCCAGTGATCTCACTATAAATGATATTAATTTTGACCATAGGGTTAAGGTAGTAACTGCCTAAGTCCCCTGTTGTAAAAAATGTTTCCCTTTTGCCATTAACAAATATGTGGGGGACACTTCTGGCAACATGCAAATATCTAATTCCCCATTAGCTTTTCACAATTTTAGCATTCATTAGAACTTTTTTTAAATTATAGTGGTATCACACTTACTATAACTTTCTTAGCATTAGTGTATCTTAGTTTTTTATTTTAGCACATGTAGATTTTATTTACCTGCTATAGTGTTCCATAGAATGAATATACCATACTTTAACAATTGCCCTGTTGATATTCATTTGAATCACTTCTAATTCTTTGCTCTTACAAATAGGGTTAATGTGACCAGCATCGTACACGTACTTCCCAAAACAGTATGTGCACATTTTTCTGTGATGAGTAATGGAAGAAGTAGAATTCCTTGGAAGAAGAAAATAAAATTTAATTTATCTATTAAATTTTAATAGATAATGTCAAGTTTCCTTCTAAAAAGATCGTATCAATTTATAATTTCACCAATAATATAAAGGTACCTTTTTCTCTATTTCCTCAATATTTGATACTAGTCTTTTTTATATTAATATTTACTAATTTTATGGGCAGAAAATAATGTCTCCATATTTCAATTTGTTTTTTTCCAAATTACCAGCGAGGTTAAACTAACTTATAATAGGTAAATAGTGTTAGTTACCTGTGAGTTCCTTTATTCCACATGTTTATTGAGAGCTTAATGTGTGTCAGTCACTATCCTAAGAACTAGGGGTAAGCAGTGAACAGACAAAAATCCTTGCCCATGTGAAGCTTATATTATAGTAGGAATTGTCCCTTTATGACCTTTGTCCATTTTTCTATTGGTTTGTCATTTCCTTTCTTATTTTCAGAATATATTTGAATATTCTGATATATACATTGCAAACATTTCTTCCAGTTCATTCAGCATTGTTTTATGGTACCTCTTCTCTTTCATGGGATTTAAATTATCATGTCAAATATATTAATCTTTTCCCTTTGAGGTGCTTATGTTTTATATCTTGTTTAGGAGTTCTTTACTCCTAGGATGTAGACACAATCACCTATACATTTTTTTTTTTTTTTTTTTGAGACAGAGTCTCACTCTGTTGCCCGGGCTAGAGTGCCGTGGCATCAGCCTAACTCACAGCAACCTCCAGCTCCTGGGCTCAAGCAACCCTACTGCCTCAGCCTCCCAAGTAGCTGGACTACAGGCATGCCCACTATGCCTGGCTAATTTTCTTTCTATATATTTTGTTTCCACTAATTTCTTCTCTATTCTTAGTAGTAGACGGAGTCTCACCTCTTGCTCAGGCTGGTCTTGAACTCCTGAGCTCAACATCCACCCCACCTCGTCCTCCTAGAGTGCTAGGATTACAGGCATAGCCGCTGGGCCAGCCTTAATCATAGTTATTTTAAATACCCTACATTTTAGTTCCAACATCTGTGTCATATTTGAGTCTGGCTCTGATGATTATTGCTTTTTCTCTTCAGATTATTTTTCTGCCTTTGGTATACCTTGCATTTTGGTTGAAACAGGCAGTTGAATACTGAGTAAATAGAGATTTGTAATAATGTAGTCAGGAGTTGCCTGTGTTTGAAGTCGTGTGTTGTACAGTTATCTGTGAGTTTGTCATTGCTGTGGTACCAGAGACTTCAAACTCCTCTTGGACTTTTTTCTTCCCTTTTTTGGTTGGTCTTCCTTTGTGTGTGTCCCCAAAAGGTCAAGTCTGTTCAGCTCTCCCAGCTGCATACTGTTTTGACCACTGGTGGTCGGAGTGGTCTCGGGAGGGATTTTTCTCTTACTGTTTCTGCTTCTCATTTCAACTGTACTGTGGGCCTTGTCTCAAGGGTGTTTTCTGGCCTTCACAGTGTTTCTATCTCTAGAATAAAGCTTTTCTCTGCGTTTCTCCCCCAGCGCAGGATATTCACACAAGTGTCCTCGCTATATCTTTGAGGCTGCTTCTCCCTGCAGATAAGACTAAAGTCGGGCAGATCGTTCCTTCTCCCGCTAGCTGCAGTGGTATGTCCCACCAGTGCCCTCTAGGCTTAAAGGCCTCAGGCTAATCCTCCCTCTCCAGATTGCAGCCTTCTTCTTATCTTAAATGAGAAGAGACAAGGCCACACGGAGAAGAGCACATCCTCTTGTTCTGAGGGCCTGGGTGATATTTTGGTGGAATACCTGCAGAGTGGGTGGAACATCCCTGTGAATCTATGGCCATACTTGGTCTCACAGCCATCTGTCAACTTTCTAGTTTATCTTTCCACTCTGGAGGCTTTGCCTCAGGTAAGCAAGTGCTTGGATCCTTGTGTCTCCCTAATAGTGCTGTCTTTTTCCCAAATTTTAGGATGGCGGTGCGTTTTCTGTGACCTCTGCTTTTCTTTTTTTTTTTTCTTTCTTTGAGACAGGGTCTTCTCTGTCAGCCAGATGGAGTTACAGTGTGCAATCATAATCACCAAACCCTTGAACTCAAGTAGTCTCCCCACCTCACCACTGAGTAGCTGGGACTACAGGCAGGCACCACTTACACCTGGCGTAAGTTTCTTTTATTTTGTAGGAGAAGGAGTCTCATTGTTGCCAGGCCTTGACCTCTCCTGTCTTCAGGTATCACAAGAACATTTTACTTACTTTCTGTTCTGGTGTTGTTTCTCTTTGTTAAGGATGACTGCTGTCCTTCCACTTCTTATATCAGCCCAGCGTCTCCTTGCTGAAATTGGTGAGTCCTAATCATATGCAGTCAGCCAATTACTCCTTTAACTTAAATGGGTGCCATTGTCCTGTAACACAATAAATTCCCAATAGACATTAATTTCTTCTCTCTCCATTGAAATTGTCCACCTTATTACACCTTGGTTAATTCCAATTCACCCTTCATCTTATCGCCAATACTAAATCTCCCTGCGCTTGTGTGTCGTGTGTGTGCTAGCTATCACCACGTTGACTCGCGTTGAGGACTCTATTTCAGCTGATCTGTTGTTCCCCATCTCGAAATCACCTTGTCTATTTACACCATTTATAATATGTTTTGAATGTCTATAGTGTACTTCCTCCTTCAGTTCTTCTGTGTTCCTTCTCTTTATTAAAATTGACGTTGGCATTCCTATGATTTTCTTCCGAAGAATAGATTCACCTTTTTCAAGTTTCTGGAAACTCACTCTGGATTCCCATTTAAGATACATCTGGACTTATAGTGAACATGTATGGTATGAGAATTGGACAACTCTTGTCCAGTTTTAATTTTCCCACCCACGCAAGGGCGGCTGGTTCATGCTGTAACTCACCCCGAGCGCACCTGGAAGCCAGAAGATGCCTCAGAGGTTATGGATTTCCGAACCCATCCTAGCAACGCAGCCGAGACCGCCGCACCGTCTCTACTAAAAACTAGAAAGGAAATTAGCTGACTAACTACAAAATACTATAATAAAACAAATCTAGCCGGTGGGTGCACCATGCCTGTGTCCCAGCCACTCAGCAACTGAGTCCAGGAGAATTGTTGAGCCAGGAGTTTGAGTTGCTGTGAGCTAGCGTATCGCCAATGGAAACTCTAAGCCGGGTAACAAAGCAAGAAATCTGGTCTCAAAAAAAAAAAAAAAAAACAATCTCCACAAACTAATTTATTCAGTCCTCATTTAACATAAGAATATTTATATATTTTTTATTCATAATAACCACTTACACATCATTTGAAACCTACCAACTAAAATTTCTGAAACACCAGTCAAAAAAAGGATTTTAAGTTTATTTAGTGCTGCATCATGGAAAAACTACACCAGTAGGACTGTGGGACATCTCTTTTTTTCTTTAATTTTTATTTTTTCTTCTAATTTCCCATGCTAGTAAGGTTAGGAGCATCCCAGTAAGGACAGTTTTCAGGTATTCTCACAGCCTATATTCTTGTAGACACCCTTTAAAGAAGGATTAAGGAAGCAGAGGCAAGTTTGACATAACTCCTATGGTATATATGCGCTCTAAAACGTTCAGCTTTTGGCAATGAATGATGCGCTATAAATTCCCTACCTTTGTTAAAAGGTGTACTAAATGAAATATTGCCCTTGTAGTGATATTGAATATGTACGATGCTTTAGTATCCAAATGACTTAAGTATTCGTTTTATCCATAACAAATGAATGCCTTTTTATGCACAGTTTACCACAAATGGAAAGACTTAAATATAGCTATATTTTTCGTATGTTACATCCGGCAAGCATAGCGTTTGTACCCAAATCCATTCTGTGTTTTTTCCCCTCTCCCTTTACGCAACATCCTCTTGTATAAACACAGAAAGAGCAGGATCAGTGTGATCTGACTAAAGATGACCCCTCCCTGATCACTATTCCACCAGATCCGTGGATGTTGTCTTGTTGATTTGTGTGCCTCTCAGCGGTTCACCCTGAATCAAAAATGCCACCTTGTCCCTACCAAAATGTTACCCAGGTCATTAGTCGCGCCTGCACTTAAGGTTGAGATCCTCAATTTCTGCTCACCTTTCCTCTGAGGCTCATGTACTGCTTGCCTATGGTACACATAAGTCTCTCATTCTCATTAGGTAAGCCCTTTTGTAGTAGTATTATAAAAGTTCTCTGCATACCACATCCACCCTAACTAAAATTTGTGACAGTGGCTATTGCTGCTCTTCCAGAAAATGGTTGGCACGGCCTTGGGCAGCAAGGATGGATTCTTGCATATTTTACTGGATCCGAGAATCGCTGCGCGTTAAAGTACTAGAGAAATATGGTTTTAGTGGTCAACTGGCGCCACATGCTGGGTCCTGTATCTCCCTGAGTGACACCTGTCTCTCTCCCATATTTTTATGGTTGCTGTTTTTCCTGTACTCCCTTTTAGACAGGGTCTTGCTCAGTGTCCAGAATATAGTACAGTGGTGCAATCTACATATGCCACCACAACCTCAAACTTCCTGGATCTCGAGCCAGCTCCTCCCACACGCGCTCAGCCTCCTGAGTACGCCCAGGAGTCAAAGCTGCCCCTATCTTACACAGCCTGGGCGGCGCTCAACCCACTCGCTACTGCAAGTTCCTTACCTCCTCGCAGCTCCAGTTCTACCAGTAAACACATGTTCAGGACTCAACTTCTCCGTGCACTGATCGGGGCGTAGCACTTAACAGATAGCGGTATATAACTGCTTAGCACAATGCCTAGAACATGTAAGGCTCTTTAAAACCATCCACATTATTAATTGTTAACTACCATCATAATGTGAATGACTGGGAGACCCAAACTGCCATGGCCACAGAGGAGGCTCTCTAGCACATCAGGAAGTAAAAGACTTTAACTCCAATTAGTCATGTGATCTGAAAGAATAAATAAAGCCACCCATCACTTCATCTCTGAACCTCAGCTCTTGTCTGTAAAGATGGAAGTTCTCTCACAGCACAAGGTGGTTATGAGATGCCAGATAAGATCATGTATCAGTGCTGGCAATGCAATCTCCCGCTATATACATGAACAACCTGCGCTAGCGCAGTATTCGCTTCAGACGTTTAACAAAAAGCAACCACAACTCACACGATATACCTCCAAACATCGTACAACTTAACTAATATATTCACTCACACTTATAACATCTATAAATATTTTTCATCAACCTTGATGTGGCTAAGGTCTTTTCTTTAAGTATAAACGTTGGACATCTTTCTCTTTACAATAACCCACCACGCTATACATACACTTTGCCTTACACAGCAGCCACCGGGCCCAGCGACATCTCTACTCGCTTCACCACATCCATACGCCCATCGGGAGGCCAAGGTGTGAGGATCACTTGAGATCAGGAGTTCAAGACCAGCCTTAGCAAGAGCAAAACCCAATCTCTACCAAAATAGAAAAAAATTTAGCCAGGCATGGTGGTGAATGCCTGTAGTTCCAACTACTCAGGAGGCTGAGGCAGGAAGATTGCTTAAACACCAGAGTTTGATGTTGCAGTGAGCTATGATGACACCACTATACTCTAACTGGGGCAATAGAGCAAGACTCTGTCTCAAAAAAAGAAAAAAAAAAGTGAAGCAAGAACTTAAAAAACAGGCAGGGCGCGGTGGCTCACGCCTGTAATTCTAGCACTCTGGGAGGCCGAGGTGGGAGGATGGCTCAAGGTCAGGAGTTCGAAACCAGCCTGAGCAAGAGCGAGACCCCATCTCTACTAAAAATAGAAAGAAATTAATTGGCCAACTAATGTATATAGAAAAAAAAATTAGCCAGGCATGGTGGTGCATGCCTGTAGTCTCAGCTACTTGAGAGGCTGAGGCAGAAGGATGCTTAAGCCCAAGAGATTGAGGTTGCTGTGAGCTAGGCCAATGCCATGGCACCACTCACTCTAGCCTAGACAACAAGGTGAGACTGTCTCAAAAAAATATATCAATCAATCAATCCAAGCACAACTGGCGTAAGCAATCTTGGGAACAAAGACAAGTGGCTGATGGTGAACATGCAGCTCTTCTGGGGCACTAAAGTGCAAGGGTTCTAGAAAGCTTCCAAGGTTCAACTACTCGAGTCATGGGCTTCATGGAGGAAAGTAACCCTGGAACTGATAGCAGTGACAATAAGGGATAGAGGGTAATGTAGTGTGATGACAGGAGATTCAGAGTTAGGGGTTTAGAAAGGGGAAAGGAAAATGCACAGAAAATAGCAATGAGGAGTGAGGAGAACACTAGCCCTGTTACCAGGTCCTGTGGTACAAGGATAATAGGAGAAAACACAGCCATGACTTGAGAGGTTGTCAGGGAAACAGTGTCCTCAGGGTACAGTCAGGTTTCTGTGAGCACTAAGAATGTGAAGGGAACATCCAGAAGAGGTGGTGGATACTAGTGATTTCACTAATGAAGAGTTTCAGGTATTAGGGAGGAGTGGAAGAAAGACTATCCAGAGCTTTATGAGGACAAGATTGCCCACCATCAGAACTTCTCTTCAGCATTCTACTGGGAGTGCTAGTCAGCTCAAAACATACAAGAAAAAGAAAATATTTAAGGATAAGAAAGAAAGAAAACAAAACTTACATGTGCATAAAATATCAGAAAATATAAAAGAGTTGTAAAAGCTTAAGATGAATGTACTTAATTTCACAGAACTACATACTTAAAATGGTTAAAATGGTAAATTATATATATATATATATATACACATATATATATATATTTTAACACACAAGAAAAGAGCAACATGGCCAGGCATGGTGGCTTACACCTGTAATCCCAGCACTTTGAGTGGCTGAGGCAGGAGGATTGCTAAAGGCCAGGAATTCAAGACAGCCTGAGCAACATAGTGAGACCCCATCTCTACAAAAAAAAAATAGAAAAATTAGCCAGGTATGGTAGTACACAACTGTAGTCCCAGTATGAGGTTACCGTAAGCTATAATTGTCCACTGCACTCCAGCCTGGGCAACAGATTGAGACCCTGTTTCAAAAAAAAATAAAATGATTTAATAATGCCCCTTTTGAAGTTCCTTCTCATTTGGTAGTGTTATATAGTTTGAAAGAATTTTCACACAAAAAGCAAGTGTCACAATGTCTACCCGTTTTCATTCTGAAAAGCATATGGCTGTTTGCTTTGTAAGATGGGGGCAGTTGTGCATACACCCTGTGAATCTTGCCTTCTAATTTTTGAGACACCTATTCTCTGACATCGTATCTCTGAAAAGCTTTCTTTTGGGACTCACCACTTGGTCCTGACAATCTCCTTCCCTAAACTATTGCACTCTGGCCTGAGGATTCACTCTTCATATCAAGAATTCCAGCACAGTGGGTTACCCCTCTCCCTCCCTTCTGAGCCTCACTATCTGTTCTGATTTTTTGTTTGTTTGTTTTAAGGAGGGGTTGTTTGTTTATTTGTTTTGTTTTTTAGGAGATGAGCCTCACTCTGTCACCCAGGCTGGAGTGCAGTGGCTCAATCATAGCCCACTGCAGCCTCAAACTCCTGGGCTCAAGCAATCCTGAGTAGCTGGGATTACAGGCACAAGCCACCATGCCCAACTGAGCCTTTCTTTTCTTATTTTTAGTGTGAATGGAGTGATACTACCTACCTAACCCTCCCATGACTAACAAAAATCTCTGATTCTCCAGTATCAGACCTTTAGAACTAAGTGTGAGTCCTGGTCCTGACTCCCCTGACTTAATAGCTAATATGTGATCATGGGCAGATCACTTAAATTTTTCAAATGTCAGTTTCCCCGTTTCATGTAAGGATAATAATCACACTCCTTCCTCCTAGAATTGAGTGAAAATACAGTGAGAAAATGTCTGGTAAGCTGTCAAGTGCTAGGCATGTATCCAGTTATTAGCACATTGATTGAGCTATACATTATTGTAGCACAGTGAAACCAGAGCTGGCACTCAGAATGAGGAATACCAGCCCAAATCAGTAAAAAGCCAAAATGACATCCTGTTTTTTTAAAGAGACAATTGAATACTAGGAGATGAGGCTAATAACATATGGGAGAAAGTGGGGATGAGGATAAGACTGTTTCGTTTATTGTCTTTAACATTTTAATTGTATGACACTGGACATTCCAGAGTGCTCTTGGAGGTAGGTGCTCAAGAAGTGTCTCCAATAGTAAGGGCCCTGCCAAGTCTTCCTGTCCCTTTGACTAGCAGGCCCTTTTTCCTTCATATTATGAATATGTCAGTCTGACCCCTTTCATAATCATCACAAATCTAAGTTATTTTAATTCCTAACTTGATCAGATTTTATTTTATTTGACTGGGTTCTCCAGCGTTGACGTGCAACCTGCTTTTGTTTCATAGGTATTAAAACCAGGCAAAAGCGTCTTATTTCGTGACTATGGGCTATATGATCATGCCATGCTTAGGTTTAAAGCTGGCAGCAAACTTGGAGAAAACTTTTATGTTAGACAAGATGGAACCAGATCGTATTTTTTTACTGATGGTAAGATGAATGGAATCTAGCTTTAAGATGTTCTATTCTTTGTTTCTGTTTGTTTGATTGCATTATCACTGCAATGCTGGTTGGGGAGGGCTTGCGACTACACTTAGCACAGATCCACAGGCCCCTTGAACAAGCTGACGCCACTTATGTAGCACCTGGCCAGGCACAGACATGGCCCCTGCCCGTGGAGAGTTCACAAGCCTTCTCTGGTGACAGTGCCTGCCACATAGTTAACCTAGGTTGATAGACAGGCTTTGACATGCCACATGGATGCCTTGCCAGAAACTGTGCTCAAAAAAAGATGGAGGGTAAGTCAGGAACTGCTCTTTATCCAGTTAAAAATAAAGCAAATAGGACAGTATAATGCCTTGATATTACTTTCCTACAGCACAAAAGCAAGATACTTTTTTCTATAGACTTAATTGGATCTGTTTTTATACAAATTTGCTATAAAGTGGTATTTTAAATAGTCATTTTTGGTAAGAAAATAAACATTTTCTTCCAGTGTCTTGAACGTTAGTTTCAAGTCTACCTAATAATCTGGGCCATGACATAATTACCTTCTTTTTTTTTTTCTATGCTATTACCTGTGATCAAAGATAATTACCTTCTTAAGCTCTGTTTTTACAATCATTTTTATTTCTTAAAATGAAATATTCTTCTAGATACTAAAATGAAACTAAAAATGAGTGATTACCATTAAAAAACTGTAAAATCATTAAAATGTGAGGTGAAAATTGAAAAGGTATTTTAATGTTTCTGATTCATAAAATCTGACTAAACCAATTATAAATAGTTGAGAAGATGCATTGATATCTGCAAAGTGCTTCATAGCACATTCTTTGGAGTGATGCTTTTAGTAAGAGTCCTGTTTCTACATAGTCATTTATTCTACTTATTTTATTTAACGTGTAGTGGTGTATTATTTGAGTTAAATTTACCTGAAAGTATATCACTATCAGGTGATTTTTTTCCACTCTCAAATCTTGTATGAATTTAGAATTTTGTTTCTTTTTACTCAGGCTTTTGTATTTGAGAACTGATGATAGGGCAGGATGAGTACACCAGATTGTCCTTTACTTCTTTCTGATTAAATTGTTTAACTGGAGATTTCTATTTGGGTGTAAGGTGAGAAGTAGGAATGTATTAGTTCCCAAAACAAAACCTTCTTTAAATTTTAGCACTAAAAAAAGAATGAAATAATGTCTTTTTTTTGCAACTTGCATGGAACTAGAGGCCATTATCCTAAGTGAATTAACTCCAGAACAGAAAAACCAATGCCACATGTTCTCACTTATAAATGGGAGCTAAACTATGGCTACACAAGGATACACAGAGTGATATAATGAACGTTGGAGGCTCAAAAGTAGGGAGGGGAGGCTGGGAGCCAGGAAGGGATGAAAATTACGGCGTATACTTCTTGGATGGTGGGTACACCAAAGGCCCAGACTTCACCACTATATAATATATACACACATGTATATATTTGTACCCCCTAAAATCTATTAAAGGAGAGAGAGAGAAAGAAAGAAAATTTTTAACATTGAAGTTTTCATTTAAAAAAAAAAAATCAATCTAGGCCCTCTATCCTTCCCTCCTTACTACTGCAAAGCGAAGGTGATGTTGTTACAACTTTGAGCATTGTTGACCTGCTTGTCTTACAGAATTCCTGGCTCAGCTCTTTATGGACACAGGTTATGAGGAAGTGGTGAATGAATATGTGTTTCGAGAGACGGTGAATAAAAAAGAAGGCCTGTGTGTGTCGAGAGTTTTCCTGCAGAGCAAATTTCAGAAGCCTCCAAAGAACCCAAGTCCTGTGACCCTGGACCTGAGACATAAGTCCTGACCTTTCATGATGGTGTTTTTGCCCCTTCTTGAAGAAGACCACTTAAAATCACTCTTTTTACTTTATATTTTTGTATTTTGATTTTTTAAATGAGCATATGCAGTAGTCCCCTATATCCACGGTTTCAGTTACCTGCGGTCAACTGTGGTAGTTATTTTATTAATGTTTGAGAGAGAAACATTCACATACTTTATTACAGTTATATATAATTGTTCTATTTTATTTTTAGTTGTTACCTAATTTACATATTAAACTTTACCATAGCTATGTGCGCATAGGGAAAAACATTGTATATATAAGAAATATATAGAGTTTGGTGCTATCCACCGATTTCTGGTATCCACTGGAGGTCTTCAGATGTATCCCCAGTGAATAAGGGGGACTACTATATGATTTTTGTATTAAAAAGTAGCAAGTTGTGTGTATTATAGAAATGTAGGCCAGGTGTAGTGGCTCACGCCTATAATCCTAGCCCTCTGGGAGGCTGAGGTGGGCAGATCGTTTGAGCTCAGGAGTTCGAGACCAGCCTCAGCAAGAGCGAGCCCTGTTCTACTAAAAAAAATAGCTGTCGATGGTAGTGGGTTATCAGACTTATTCACATTAGTGTCACTAAAGTTGGTATTCAACCCCCACTGCTAAATTTAGGCTTTAAAAAAAAAAAATAAAAAAAATAGAAAGAAATTAGCAGGACAACTAAAAAACATACATATAAAAAAATTCAGGGGGATACAAGAACGTGATGACGACAGACGCTGTCTCTTTGCCATATCTCCCGCGAGAATGAAGACCATTCTCAGCAATCAGACTGTCGACATTCCAGAAAATGTGGACATCACTCTTAAGGACGACAGTTACCTGTGAAGGGTCCCAGAGGAACCCTGCGGAGGGACTTCAATTACTCACATGTAGAACTTAGTCTCCTGGAAAGAAAAAGAAGAGGTCCGGGTTGACAAATGGTGGGGAAATAGAAAGGAACTGGCTATGTTCGCACTATTTGTAGTCATGTACAGACAAGATCAAGGGTGTCACACTGGGTTTCCGTTACAAGATGAGGTCTGTGTATGCTCACTTCCCCATCAATGTTGTTATCCAGAAGAATGGGTCTCTTGTTGAAATACGAAATTTCTTAGGTGAAAAATACATCCGCAGGGTTCGGATGGCCAGGTGTTGCTGTTCAGTATCTCAAGCACAAAAGAATGATCCTCGAAGGAAATGACATTGAGCTTGTTTCAAATTCGGCTGCATTGATTCAGCAGGCCACAACAGTTAAAAACAAGGATATCAGAAAATTTTTGGATGGTATCTATGTCTCTGAAAAAGGAACAGTTCAGCAGGCTGATGAATAAGATCTAAGAGTTGTCCAGCCACATGAAGACACCACATGATTACTAAGATGTATTTGTAATTTTGATGGTGCAATAAAAGAGCTGTTGGTTTGGGAAAAAAAAAAAAATTCAGGCATGGTGGTACATGCCTGCAATCCCAGCTACTCAGGAGGCTGAGGCAGAATGATTGCCTGATCCCAGGAGTTTGAGGTTGCTGTGAGCTGGCTGATGCCATGGCACTCTAGCCTGAGCAACAGATTGAGACCCTGTCTCAAAAAATAAATAAATAAAAAAAAAAAGAAATGCAAATAAAAGTTCAAAGCCTGAAAAGCAAAGAAAGTTTTATAGTATAACAGAATTTAGCCATGTTGTCTGCCTGTAAAATTCCACAAAGGAAAGCATAAGGACCCTGTAGCACTTTAGAGATCCTTGTCATTACTCATACAACTCTGAAAGTGTGCCTCCAGGCAGCATGTTAGACAACCCTGTAGAGAAATGAGGCCAATACGCTAAGACAAGACATTCCTATGTATTTTTAGCCTGAAGGATTGTTCCCTTCTCTTCCAGTGTCTCATATTTGCCTATTTTCCTCCCTTTTAGTTCATTTATGTACCTATTCAAGACCATTGTTCCACAGAAACCACTTTTGCTATTATGTCTCTGCTCCGGAACCCACTGTTGCCCTCTGCCTGATTCTTGAGACCTCCTATAGTTGAGCCAGTTCCTGGCCACACTGTTTGCCCTGGGAGAAAGGGGAAGGCCACAACCTATTCTTCCTGTGCAGTGCAATTTCTCTGGGAAGACCGCAACATCTAGTTAAGAGTTAGAATTTCATACATGTGCAATGGGTAAAAAAAAAAAGAGAATTTCAGAGTTGAGAGGGGCATTAGAATGGACTGTCCCAAGTCCCTGTTGGGAAATGAGGAAGCAGATGAGTGATGTGATGAGTCCAGAAATCACACAGCTAGTGTTGTGGTGGAGTATGGGGAAATCCCTTAGTTGGTCTGCTGACCTGTTTCCCAAGCATTGCCATATAATGACTTTAATTTTATGAAATAAAATCTAAATTCTTTTGATCTGGTCACAAAAGTTGATCCTGTAAGCCTTTATGTTTCTCTTTCTGCAGAAAACTGTTCATGAGACTGCTGTCTCGAGTCCGTGATGGGACTGCATGTGCAGTAAGCCTGGGCCCTTCAACCCCTGCCACACCTGGAGAGTAGGGATCCCGGTGGGACAGGGTCCCACTGCAATAGTCACGGCAGTTCTGTACAGTCAGAATAAATCCTACTGGCTCCTGGAGAGAAGGGGGATGGGCAGCAGGACTCAGCATGCTTGCTGGGTGTCCTGACTCTGCCATCTGTCCTCAACTTCTTGGGTGGGGCTGATGGAGGAAGCTAGAACAACCCCTACCTCTTGCTGGTCTGTTGCTTTGTATATTCTCTCCCCTTCGTTTGGAGGCTGGAAGATGGCTATTCCCAGTAAGAGCAAAACTGATATAGGAGTGGTATAGAATTTGTCCTTTACAGTGTTTTCTTCTGAAATTAACCTGGAAAGAAATGGGCCTATAGGGAGGCTCCTAGGCCTTCTCACAGAGTGAGGGTCAAGCCTTGTCCACGCCCAGCATCAGGCTTCCTCACATCAGTGCAGGGCTTTCTCCATAAGCCCCTCTGCCAGATGAGTCCCAGAGCCAGCTCCAGCCCACATGTTACCCAGCACCCCCTCCACAAGTCTTTTCACCTATATCTCCAATAAGTCTGACCAGTGTCACTTGGGTTTCAGTCATTAAGCTGGATAAAGATAAGCTATTTAAAGTACAAAAGTAGGGAGCAGTGTTATGTGATAGAATAGGCGTGGGCTTTTGTTTTCAGAAGTCATTTGGAATTTTAACCTAATTCCTTAACCTGTTTGAACCTTGATTCCTCATTTGTAAGGAAATAGGCTAAAGGAAAAAAAGTTGAGGCCAGGAATAGGGTTAGCACACAAACTGCATCATCAGTGGTCTGATACATTTAAAAGATAAAATTACAAATTTGGCTTCCTAGTGGGTAGTGTAAAGAAGGAAACAAGATCTAATCCAGATTCTGTAAGATCAAACTGAGGCAGCTACTCAAGGAATCTTTCCCTTCAGTTCTTATAAAGAGAACACTAATATAGCAAACCACATTTTTAGTAACTTCACCACTAATAAATACAAGCGTCAAAACATTGTTTCTAATAATATTGCTTAATGTAAATATAACCCCAAATGACTAGTCTGTTATCTGTGGAGAGGACTGAAAGGAGATGGTCCAGGTAGGTTTTAGAATTCCTGGAAGACTGGTTGATGGAAACTTGGTCCTTCTGGCAATCTTCCATCAGTAGTGTTCTCCGCTGAGGTGGGTTTTTTTTTTTTTTTTTTGAGGCAGAGTCTCACTCTGTTGCCTGGGCTAGAGTGCCATGGCGTCAGCCTAGCTCACAGCAACCTCAAACTCCTGGGCTCAAGCAATCCTTCTGCCTCAGCCTCCTGAGTAGCTGGAACTACAGGCATGTGCCACCATGCCTGGCTAATTTTTTCTATGTATTTTTAGTTGGCCAATTAATTTCTATTTTTAGTAGAGATGGGTCTCGCTCCTGCTCAGGTTGGTCTCGAACTCTTGACCTTGAGTGTTCCACCCACCTCGGCCTCCCAGAGTGCTAGGATTACAGGCGGGAGCCACACCCGGCCTCCGTTGAGGGTTTGATGTGACTCCAGGAACCAGAGAGTCTAGGACTTGGGTTCTCAAATTACGGCCTGCAGGCCACATGCAGCCTGCCAGGACATTTATCCAGCCTGCCCGGTGTTTTTGCCACCGCTGCCTGTCCTGTGCAGCTGACTTGTCCGGGCCCACAGTGCGCATATGTGGAATGTGAGCTGCACTCTCCAGTGGTCCTCCAACGGTCTGAGGGACAGTGAACTGGCCCCCTGTTTAAAAAGTTTGAGGACCCCTGGTAGGTTATCCTCTCTGAGAAGTGCAGATATTGGGCAGACCATCTGGCCAAGAGTTAATGACTCCAAAGAAAGCAGAATGGGCTGGTGAAGACCTCTCTCTGCCGATAGTTGGCTGAGGGGACACCTGTGAATGGAGCCAACAGTTTCCTCCAAACAACTTGGAGTTGCCTCTACCACCAAGAGCAATTATGGCCTCAAATTCCTACCCCATAAAGCCAGGCTGTGAAAGTTTTCACTTAGAATATGTAAAGTTAGTTTAATAACATGCTGATCTCTGACACTGAGCAATGTTACCTCTCAGATATTTTTAAGATACATTAAGACATAACTTTAAGATACATTGATTGCAAAATAAACTTATTAAATGAATGAAGTGACCTAGTCCATCAGTGGCTTTTGGGGGGATTTTTGGTTTTAGAGACAGGGTCTCATGCGATGCACAGGCTGTAAATGGTGGCTATTCACAGGTGCTATCAGCATACCATAGCTTCGAACCCCTAGGTTCAAGCAATCCTGCGTCAGCCTCCCAAGTAACTGGGACTATGGGTGTATGCCACTGCACCCAGCAATGCTTTAGCTATGAGCCAGCAGATTAGTATAATAAGTAAACGGAAAGGATTTTTTTTAAAGGTCAAACATAATAAAAACATGGTTTCAGTCCTATTGTTGCAATGTCCAGGTATTCATTCTCCCTGGGCACACTTCCCTGAGTGCATCCTAAATTAAGACAACAGAAGAGCAGGTTCTCCCACAGTCTGGGTGCCCTCATGGG